CATGTGGGACTGGCGTGGCAGCCGGTTGAAGAAGATGTGCCGGAAGAGCGCGTCGCCGAGCTGGTCGTCGGTGGTGGACTTGAGGGCCTTGTCGAGCGAGAGCGTGGCATGGGCGTAGAGGTTGGGCATCTGCTTGAAGGCCTTGCCCATCCCCACGTAGTTGACGCCCACGTTGTTGAGCTTTTCCTCGACGTCCATCCAGAAGCTGTCCGCGAAATACGCTCGCGTGTCCAGTGCCTGCGCCGTGCGTGCGGTGGTGCGTGTGCGGTGATGCGCGTGGTGGTGAGAGAATCGGTGAGCAACAGCACAAGGTTGTTGGCGTCGGTGTAGGTGGGTACCCGGCTGGATGCGTCCTTTCGGAGCCGCACGGACGTCATCCACATGTGCAGCGTCGAGATCAAAAACCAGGGCAGCAGGCCCTTTTCCTCGTACCCCAGCACTGCGTGCGATTCACGTCAGCACCCATGGTCGATAAATACAACCGCGCCCCGAAGGCGGCATACGGCAACCACACACACACACACACACACACACACACACACACACACACACACACACACACAACACAACAACACACACACACACACACACACACACACACACACACACAATAACGACACGACACACACGACTCACGCCAAGACATCACACACGACACACACAGCACGGAGAGAAGAGGCGCACGATCGTAGAATTCCTCGTCGAGCGAGCGGTAGAAGACGTTGGCGTAGAGGGCGGAGCCGGACCGCAGGCTCTGGTTCTTCTTGCCGTAGTAGCCCAGGAACCGCAGCAGCCCGTCCTCGCTCTCGCCCTGGTTTGCTCGCTCCTTTGCCACTCTTGTGTCCGGGGGGGGGGGTGAGTCAGGAGAGAAGACCTCCCCGCTCGTGCAGGCACTGGTGACGCAAAGAGGAGGAAGCGTAGTACTCGAGAATCTTCTGAACGCCCAGCTCATCGCGTCGCCGCTCCTCTGGCGTGCGGCGGGCGAAGATGACGGGCGACATGTAGGTGAGATCTGGGTCCGCGCTGGGTCCTGTTGTGGCTGAGGCCTCTGCTCGACCGCCGAAGGATGATGCTGGCATTTCAGGTGTGCCCCGCAGGGTAGAGCTGCAGCGTCCAAACAGCTGCCACAGGCCGGTGCAATCAAATGTGTTCAGTGTTTCCATCGATTAAATTGCGATGAGATGGAGGGTCCAGTACGAGGAATGAAGGAACGTGGCCACGTATCGGCATGCAGCCGTTTATGGCGCCTGCGCGGCTACGATGTACGATTGGGTGGCGGGCCATCGATGAATTGCATCGCGAAGTGATCGACAATGCCCTGCAGGACGGCGTGGCCATAGTTAAGGCACCAGCTGAGAGGTGGGGTCTGTATAGAGTCTTGCGCATTATCCTCTTCTCTCGATGTAGTACTCCAATCCCACACAAGTTGGTTTGATTAAATTTGTCCAACATTAGTAATTTGCACCGAGAAAAGATACAAGAAAACATTAACAGTTAGCTCCTACGTCTGGGGTGGTTGTATTGACGTTGAATCCAAACTTTACATGGACGAAGAAGAGTCTGAGGACATGGAAGAGCTTGCCGAGTTCGAGTTGGTTGAGCTCGAGGAGCTGTACGATGTAGAA